CTGTGAAAACCAGCTGTTATTTGTTACCAGGGTACTAGAAAGAAGATAAGAATAGAGCAATTTGAAATAGCACAGAGCTCATTGTTCTTATTGAGATTCAGTCCATTTATTTTCTGAAACTTGCTTCCTGACTTGTTCAGCAAGCTTTTTGCCACTATCTAGAGTTTGACAAAATTCATCCAAACATTCATCCAAAATTCATCATTGTCTTCTGGAGGAAAAAAATTTCAGAGTTTAAACTGACATTTCTGCTGATGCTACTGTGGCAAAGTTACCTTGGAATTCCTTTTGGTACTAGTTTCTAAAATTTATTTTGTGGCCAGCATAGGAGCTAGCTAATACCATAGTAGAGAACAAACATGTTTAAGACTATTCATTAGCATACTTGAAAGAACGAAATGTCGGAAATAAGTACTCAACAGATGAATGAAGAAACAAATGATGGGTATATTGAAATACTTCATAGCACAGAGAATATAAGTCAAAGAATCATATAAACATATAATTTTAAGGTCAACATAAAGGACAGCTGAGTAAGAATACAGATCCAATTCCATTTTTATATAATTCCATTTTCTATTGGTTAAAACATGCTTAAAAGTAGTAAAGAAAAGAGCTAAGTTCTAAAATTATTTTTGCTTCAGAAGGATAGAAAAGAGCTTACTGAGAGAACATTAATTATATAGACCAAGTTTTATTTCATAATTTGGATAAGAAGATCATGGATATTTATTTTACAATAATGCTTTATGAGTTAAGAATTTCTTACCTCATATAATAATATGTTATAAAATGATACAAAATATTTAGAATAGATCATTTGAGCAGTTTTTTCCTTATACACATATTTGTGCAAGCTTAATAAGAAACTTCTGATGGAGTAGTTGAGAGAAGAGGATTCAGAGATTTATGGATGTTGTTATTTATTAACATGTGTATAGGATGTTAAAAGATTGTCTGATGTCCTTGAGTTATATTCCTATTGATAGTATTTACTTCAAGAAGACATTTTGAGAGTAATGTCTGATAGCATAAAAACTGATTGATCTAACTTACTCAATAAAGTATTAGCAACTTGACATTAAAATACCCACACATGAAAGAAATCTGTTTTTCACTCAGAAAACAGATGGTTTGAGATTTGTGTGGTTGATGTTGTTATTTGATAAAATTGTTATTTGACAATTATCATGAGTGTTATTTAACAAAATTATGCACACAGAGAGCTTTTTTGACTTTAGGAAGGCTATTATTTTCAAAATAGCATTAAATTGAACTTGTCAATTAAAGTTGATAAGCCTTGAACTGTTTTTGTAGGTTGAAAATGTTTACCTTTTAGAGATATTTTTATATTCCATGCACACTTTTTTTCAGATACAGGTTTGAACTCTAAGTATTGTACTTGGCCATCTTGCTTGTTTATGTGGTACTTCAGTCATCCTCCAACATGAATTTTTTGCTAGTTATTTTGGAGATGGAGTCTCAGGGATTTGCCTCAGCTAGCCTCAAACCATAATGCTTCAGATCCCAGCTTCCTGAGTAACCAGGATTACAAGTATAGCTACTGATGCCCAGCTACCTTCTAAATTGTTCTAAAAAACAACAAAAATATTTTGAAAAAATTCAGCATTTTCAATATGGTGTCAGGATAGTCGTTTTCCACTGTACCGGTACTAGCATAGCCAATTTGAGCATAGGTAGATTTGAGGAATTGCTGGGGTGGGGGGTTGTTTTGTGTGCGTGTGTGTGTGTGTGTGTGTGTGTGTGTGTGTGTGTGTGTGTGTGTCTGTATGTCTGTGTGTCTGTATATATTTCGTTAAAAACCTGGAAAACTTGAAAGCTCCCAAATTTCTACTTATCTTTACTACGCCTTCTCATTTTGCTTGTATTTTACTGCACATGTAACATTTAAGTATCAACACAAAACCCACCCCACTGTGCCAGATTGATCATTCTTGTAATTTCTCCACTTATTAGTCTTTCAAGGTAGAAAAGGGACAGATCATGTCAGGATTGAGGAGAGGTCATGATCAAGTTCAACATCAAGCTATGTTAAAAGTAATCACACTTAATCTCCAGAATTTTCCCTTTCTGTGTACATTTCTACTTTGCTAGATGTCCATGCTATATGAATTCAGTGATCTCATTCCATTTATCATTCATCTGCAGTTCATTACTTCACTCAGGCCATCCTTATTGAACAAATCTCTTAATTCCTCTGTATTCTTGTGAGATAAATGAGTACAGTCTGAAAAACATTATACTACTGTATTATGCCAATGTTATTATACTAAGGTATTGATTTGGGGGAATAATAGGATGGAACACCTAAGAATGAAATGTAGACACAAAAATGTAAAAAGAAATGATGGTTTTTCTTTTTTGTATTTTCTTTATGGTCTTAGGGTTTGAACTCAGGACCCCATGCTTGCTAGACAGGCACTCTACCACTTGAGTTTCTTCACCAGAACTTGTCATATTGGTTATTTTTGATATAGGGTTTCAGTTCATGACAGGGTCAGCTTGGATAGTGCCTTTTATTCGTTATTCCCCTTGGAGCTTGGAATGAAAGATAATCAACACCATGCTCAGTGCTCTGTGACCGGAGTTGTAAAGTGAAGTGTTTCTTTTTTTCTACCTTTATTTTTGCCTAGGTTGACTTCGAAATTCTATTGCCCAATTTTCATCCCTTAAGTAACTAGAATTATAGACTTGAATCACCATGCCCAACTCTTTTTGCATGTCTTATCACAGGACTACTTACCAGTATCCTCAAATAAACTTCTCTATGTTGGAAAACTTAGGCCAGAATGAAATCAACCCGTAGTCCATGAGTGATCAAGCTCCTGCCAGCAGTTATGGTAGGCATGGGCACTGGGAACCTGGGACGCCCCCATAAGCCAACCCAAATGAACAATAACTAAGAGTTCATTCTTGTCGTTGAAGCATGTTATCCATGTCATGGTTCTGATTATCTCAGGGTTTCCCTTTCATCTGGACCATCAGAAAGATAATGTTCACCAAAGTCAATTGAACATAGTTTGGAGTCTCTATCATGAGGCTTGCCTTAGTGTGCATATTTGAGACTCTGGTCCATTTTCATTTGCAGATAGCCAGTGTCAGTGCCATGAACAAATTTCAACAGGATCAGTTCCACTTGATTTTGCAGAACAGGAAATTGAATCCCAGAGATGTCACATGGTTTACCACACATGACAGTATTTAAGTGAAAGAACCCAAGCCACTGTTTCTCGATTGTTAGATGGGCTCTATTCTGTTCTTTTTTTTTTTCTTTTCAAACCATGGCTACTAATTCCTTAATGGCATGTGGGGGTGGGAAAAACAGTTGTATGAATTCTTGTACTTAATATAAATAGCCCGTGTTAGTTCAGCTGGTGGTCAGCACATTCGTACTACATTTTGTTGACACTTTGTTTGTAACTGGCCTTTTAAAAATGTTTACCTGTCAAAAATAAAATTAAGTTATTGTGCAATTCTTTGCATACATAAATTTGTCAACACTGTATACCATGAGGACAGTAAGGACAATTTTTATGTGTATAATATTATGTTGGCCTTCTACTTTGAGACTATTTCTGCATTTTCTCTTAAATGTCCACAATTAGAAATTGTGACTGTTAACAGACTAATTCTCTTTGATATCTGAGTGGTTGTGCCAGACTAACCTTAAAAATTATAGTATTATGGTATGTCTATTGTGTGCCACTTAAATTTATTTGAAAATAATGTCCTCAACTATTTTTTTCAAATGTCTACTGGAGAGACAGTTTAAAGTTCTTCATAAAGCTGATTACCTTCAATCTTTAAATATTTTTATCACCAAAGGAAAGGTTAAATATTAAGTACCACATTAATTAGTGATTCCATAAATTTGTTAAGATGAGCAGTTAGTGTCTGATTGCTGATCATGTCATCCACAGGATGTCTTATTATTATTATTTTTTAATGCAGCCCCTCATCAAGTTACTTCTGTAGACTTTGACTGCTGGTACCAATGATATATTTTAAACTGTGCACTCGGTCCTATATTTTTAGTCACACATGGAAGTGAGGTGTAATTGAATAAAACTCATTAGACATAAAGAAAAATTACCTTAAATTCATTTTCTCTTAGATTAACAAAGCTTATAGTGAATATGTTGTTGGTCAGATATATTTCCCTTAAGTTTCAACAGTTGCTAAAAATACCAGATCAATCACCATCCAGATTGCATTATGAAGTGTGTGAACTAGTGCATTAAAAAGCCATGTTAGCACCAACAAAGTTTATTGGGGTAGCTGCATTCAAGACACACATGGCATACCTTTAAATAGCACTGTTAAAATACCAAATAAAATGTCAACGTCTGTCAGGTCTCTGGCTTTTATAAATTGTTTAGACTGGGAAATGCTGGGGTTTGGACATTGTTCTTTTCATATGATGTAGAAAAGAGGAGACCATAAAAAGAAAAAGAACAATAAAGCATAGCTCATTTTTTAAGTTCTTTCATGGAAAAACATACTGTGGATCATTACCCTCCTAATCAACAATTTCCTCCTTCCTCCCAATCCTTCCCCTCTGGTATTTACCTTTCTCCCCCTCCTCTCTCTGGGTGGTATTCTGAGCTTATACATACTACCCAGTAATCATATTTTTTAAATCACTTCAAAGGAGAATTCCAGGATGGCATGACAGACATGTATATATCAAGGGTGTTCTTAACCTAGACCATAACTTTACTAGCTGTTTTTATGCTCTTAAAAAAATGGTGTACCCTGAGCACAGGATATTCTGAAGCAGGAAAGCTCTCTGAGCAGGATCAGCTATTACCTACCTACGGAGGAGTTATTATCACACCGTAGTGACCATCTTCCTGCCCTCTTCCCTTCACCTCCAGCCTTTTATTAGCACACCACACTCCCCACAATTCCCCAACAACAACATCTCTGTTTCAGCTCTTTTGCTGAATTTCCCACACTTAATGCAACCCAGACCTCACCTTCAGCTCTCCTGAGGCCACTTTGGAAGCCAGCTCGATGACACAGCCAACAGCCATGCGTGCAGCACCGGACGAGTGCAGCTCATTCCAAATGGTGTCACTGTCCACCTGAGCAAACAGTCAGTAGAATCAGAAGAAAGCAAGCGGTGAAGAAAATGAAGGAGAAGGGAGAGAGGAAGGAGAGAGGAAGGAAAGGGGGAAGGGGAGGGAGAGAGAGAGAAAAAGAGAAGGGAAAAGGAGAAAGAAAATCTATGAGGAAGGGTTGGCAGGGTAATAGCTATGTTCAATAACATTAGTCTTCCGTCTTGGCCAGCTGAAAGGCCTTCTGGACGTGGCTTTGCTTATACTTTTTCTCTGCATTGACTTCTCCAATGGAAACACATTCCTGCCATGCCTCACTGCCATTCCCTGTTTAGATTTCTCATTACAAACAGCATTACATAGGCCAGGTCTGGCTTAGCTACAGGACTACTAAAAACCAGGCCCCAGTAGTAGATGGAGTAAAAACCAAGAGCATTTAGTTCTACATAAAAATCGGATTTGCAAGTGCTGGAGGGGGAAAAATTCAAATACCTTCCTGACGGAAGGTTTACAGGGAGCCAAAGACAATTTTTAGGCAGGTAGCAGTAGCAGGCAGGGAACAGGAAGTAGCAACCACAGCTCAGGTGCTCCAGTGAAATGGAAAGAGTGTGTGGTCCTTGCACTTAAAACATTAGCAATAGTAAACTGCAAGACCCAGTTTGATTTCTCAAAGGAGAAGCTTAAGTTTTCTAATATTTAGTAAGAGTTTTTCAGATGGTTTCAATGCACGATGGTTTTATTAGCTTGACTACACCAGGAAAAATACATATTACTGACATATATCCTAACATTCTGGATTCCCTTTCTGTAAAATCTGTTTACTTTTGCTCTTTTTCTTGCATAAAATAAGAGAATGTATATATAAAGGATGTGACAATTACAATAGCAATGATTGGTGACACCATAATTTAAGATCATCTACGTTGCATAGTCTATTCTGAATCAGATGAAAAGTGTAGCTAGTTTCAGAACAGAGAAATCACTTGAAACATGAGGAAATAGAAGAAAATGTATGTGAATATAATGCCTTCCAAAATTGGTCAAAGGTGGGAATTCCCGGAGGAAACAAAACTTTTTATTTAAAAAAAAACCAAAAAGAATCAAATTCAAGAGGCCTAAGTGCATGGAACAACTACAATAAATAACAGTAACATTCACAAGTTACTAAGCAGTTTTAAAAGTAGTGTTATGTGCCTTTTGTTTGCCTCATATAGCTCTTACCACCCTAAGGAGCATCAAAGACACTAAATAAATAAACAAATAAATAAGAATCCAAGTAAACAAATACATATGTGTAAGCATGAGTATATAAATAAATGATCATTGAAATCCTCTAAACAAAAGGACATAGTGAAGGCAGCAGCCTTCACTGAACACAGCACTCTGTTAGGAGTGAGATTGTGTCTCCATCATCAAACCTAAGTAATACTGAACTACCGATTGGTTAAAATCTCTGTGCCATGGTTCCCTTATCTGTGGAAATGACAACTGCTTCATTTAGTTTTGGTCAGGATTAAATAAGTTGGTCATGAACACCTAGAAAGTTTAGGAGTTATTCAAGCTAGTAGAGATTAATATGTTATTAGCTGGGGAAAAGATCAATGTAATTGGGAGACAAAAGAAATATATCTTTATCATACTATGAAAGAAGATGAGTTAGGCTGTATCTTGTGATCGAAGTCAGCAATATGCCTTGACAGGAAGCTAGCCCAGGTTCTGGGCAGAAATGCTCAGAGACATGCTGCAAAATGGGCTCTCAGGGCATAATTGTATATTAGAATTAATATAAGAATACCCAACTTTTTGCCTACTCAAAACCCCTCTAGTCTTAACCAAGTGGCATTAGAAAAATAATGTGTTTTCTACTTTGAAATATTTCTTTTAGCAGTCTGCTAAATAAAAATGTTATCAATCTAGAAATAGTACCCAAAAGTCTAACTCACTTTATAAATATATAGGAGCTTCTAGACCTGACATGTGTCCAAACTGGGGTTCAGACAAGTTAGATGGGGTCTCTCACACAAATAAGTCTCTCTGTGTTAGGTGCTGGACAAACTTGGTAAGATACAGGGAAGAGTGCTTTAGAATGAGAGTCCTGCGATCTTAGAGCATGAACGGTATAGTCATCAAGGAGAAGGCCTTGGATCTGAAGCATCAGAATCTGCTCTGATACTTCCCCAAACCCCAGAGATGCACACCTATTTGTCTATTTAATAGAGTAGTGTGGGGTGCACAGAGAGAGGTTGAGAGTAAGATCACCACTCAGCAAACCACTAAATCCACTTTTGAGTTTTGTACATTATTATATTGTCAGAAATATTGAACAGAAGGAAGAATTGAAACAGGCAAAATATACTTCAAAACAAGAATAAGTTTGAATAATTCAGCATCAATAAAAAATTATCTTCCCAAGAAAACAAAAAGCCATACTTATAATCCTAGATACTTGTGAGGTGAAGGTTGAGAGGACTACAGTTCAAGACCATTCCAGGCAAAGGTTTTGAGAGCGCTTATTTCAACAGAAATAAGGTGGTGCATGCCTGTCATCCTAGCTACAGCAGAAAGTGTAAACCAGGAGTTTCACAGTGCATGTAAATAAGCAAATCCCTATCCCACATGCTCTGCTTCCCTAAGGACCTTAGAGAATCTACAGCACCTGGCAAAGAAACAGTATGCCCTGTTAAGTATGCATAGCCTTGTACCCTTCCAGTTTACCATGTCAGGCCAATTGAGCAATTGACCTATTCTACTGATATGTGCAAATACACACTATGGTGTTTTCGTAGCTACAAAATCATCTGGTAATGCCTAGTAGAGGAGATAGCAGTGTCACTCAAAATGTGACTATATAGACAAAAAATGAAAAGATATTTATATAGAAAGAGTGGAGAGGTTGATTACAAGGTATACAGGGGGAAGAAAGAGAGTTTAGGAGGAAAAGTGTTCTCTAAACTTGTTATTTCTGGGCTGGGAAGGTGGCTCAGTGGTAGAGCGCTTGCCTTGCATGCTTGAGACCCTGGGTTTGATTCCTCAGCACCACATAAGCAGGAAAAAAAAGCCAGAAGTGGCACTGTGGCTCAAGTGGTAGAATGCTAGCCTTGAGCTGAAGAGCTGAGGGACAGCGCCCAGACCCAGAGTTCAGGCCCCACAACGGGACCCAGAAAAAAAGAAAAAAAAAATATTTCTTCCTCTTTCTTTTGACAATACAGCTAAAACTAATTTTTAACAGCAACATACTTTTCTTGAATTTACCCAAATAATTCTGTATTATCAATAAAATAAATGCTGTGATCATCTTACTTTTTTGCATTGCTTTGCCTTTGGTTTCATCAATGTTAGGGACGGAGTCTGAAAATTTTTTGTAGGTTTTCCAGTGATCCTGCTCTAGTGTCACCTTATCATTCCTAGCACACCAAAGGGAGGGACTATGCTCTAATGATTTTGAAAAGAGATAATTACATATCATCTGTGGTAAAAGAAAAGTTCAAGGGCTATTATATAATTATGGATATCTATTCAAAACAAAACAATCACACACACACACACACACACACACACACACACACACACACACACAGCTCAGGCAGTTTCTACATACTAAAACAAGGTGCTTGAAAATATTCATGAGAATTTGATTAACCTAGCAGACCAGTAAAGAGCATGGAGCATCTGCTGCCTTAGCAGGCATGATTCATTATGTTGATTGAAAATATACACCCACCTTTCAAATTACTCCTATCTTTTGAACAAGTGTGGGTAGCTAAGAGATGGGTAAAACACTTCTTAAATCATATTTGTCACAGTTTCTTTATCCACTATGAATTGGAATTATGAATAGAAATGATAAAAATCCAAGACCAACTCAGGATTTTGAAGACCTCAAAAAAAGTTTCCTGAATGCTTGACTTATAATTTAAACTTATATTTTAAGCTTACATTAATCATAACTTAAACTTTAGAAGTAATCTTTTTCCCAGTATTTCCTCAGATCTTGAGCAGGTACCACTTAAGTGGGAAATATGGTATGAAAAGTTTCCTTAATGTTTAAGAGATTGGTTGACCAATATAAACAGGGACCGAGCAGAGTCTAGGGACAGGGACAAAGCAGAGAGACTGGAATGTAAACAAGATGTACCCTTGCACTGAAGATCTTTCAGTGATTCCAAAGGCCACTTGGATAACACAGATGTCACACAATATAAAAGTTCCAGTCTGTGGGGATGGAGGTCTCTGATTAGAGAGACTGATTAAAGTTCTGATTAGAATTGTAGTTGAATGGAAGGGTGTCTTAAAGGCACTGCCTCAAAGGCTATGAGGCTACAAATTTGTTCCGAAGAAAATGAAGGCACACAATTTCATGTGAAAGCACAAGTACTGCATTCTTAAATTCTTATATGAATTCACTTTAAAATAAAATCCCAGGCCAGGATAAAACTACTATGCTGAGTATGGCTCCAGGGTCTATGCATTCCTTCTGATGTCCAGAATGGAATTTATTTATTTATTTATTTACTTACTTAGTTATGTTCTTGTTTCTCACTACTTCTTTAGTAATCTCTGTCGCTGAGAATCATGCCAGTCCATAGACTAAATCTATGTGTTGCGGACATCACAGCTGAGCAGGACACTGGGTGGTAACTTCAGGAACTCTTCAGGGTTGGATATTCACAAGGGATTCCAGTCCTTGCCAGAAATGATCAGAGTGTACTCTGTTGCATTCACTAAAACATTCCTAATAAAATTTCATCTTGAATCTTTTGTACCTCACTTTTACTAATTTGTTTTCGTGGCATTTTATAAAATATGGCTCTATGACAGATAGGAAATAAAACATCAGCTAAAACTAGTCTTGTCCTTCAGCCTTTAATAAATTTGAGAAACACTAATTTCATAGAAGGTTGGCTTTCCATCTGAAAGAAAGAACCCTATTTTGGTAAAATGAAATAGAGAATAAAGATGAAGCCAGGAGTGAATGCTTGGGAGATTGACTACCAATCATTGGTGTAATTAGTACACAAATGAATAAT